AAAAATAACAACACTTTGTCAGGACCATGAGGCGATCATTCCTACCAACTTTCAGTTCAATCGGTCCAGCAGAACTTGACTTTAAGTTTGAAATGTAAAATGTTAACGGACGACGGACGACGACGGACGAAAACGGATAGCAATAGGTCACTTGAGCTAAAAGCTCAGGTAACCTAAAAACAAGTTCTAGTAGGCCGATCTAACTGAAACTCGATCTAGGAATGATCAGTTCATGGTCCTGACAAACTTAAGTTAACGTTATACTTAACTATTTTTACTCAAATTGGTACATATTTCAACAACAAAAATAAATACTGTAGGACTCAGGTGACCGTTAAGGCCCATATGCATGGGCCTCTTGTTGTTTCACTATATCACCAAGACCCTGGCAATTGGCAGATAATATTGTTACACCGTCCATGTGTGTTTTAAAATCACAATAGTCGTTGGTTTGCAACATGGGAGAACCCTAGGAATGGGGTCGGACATACATAAAACATATTAAGACATACAGAAAATATAATTTTGAGAGATAATGGAACTAAAACCCACTAATTGATACGTTTCATTCACTCTGCCAGCGCCATATTTAACATTATTCAATATTAAACTATAACCTATCTTCCATTTCCATTTGGATATTTTGAAATATTCCAAGAAGTATTACATTTAACTAATATACAAGAGGCTCAATGGGCCTGCATCGCTCACCTGATATAAAACTCACACTTGTAACCTTAAAAGTGATCTAAAATAAAGCTACAGGCAAAATATCAGTATTTATGATTAAAATTCGTTCAAAAGACCCTGTTATTTTTTTTAAAATATTTTACCCCTGTGATTGAAAGTCGAACAAAGTCATTATGTTGAACACATTGCAAGTTGCATCCGTTGCATCCTGAGATGAAAGGCTATACAAAGTATAAACATCCTGGGACCCATGGTTATTCATAAGAGGTTGTTTAAAGATTGTAAACAAATTTGACCCCTGGGACCTTGAATATAAGTCAAAGTCATTCACTTTAACAAACATAGTAGTCCTTGATCCCAGCATATGCTACTAACTAAATATCAACATCCTGAGCCTTTTGGTTATTCAGAACAATTTGTTGAAATATTTTAAACATATTTGCTCCTTGTGACCTTGAATATGATTCAAGGTCATACATTTAAACAAACTTGGTAGCCCTTGATCCTAGTATGCTACTGACTAAATATCATCACCCAGGGCATTTTGGTTAGTCAGAAGAAGTTGTTTTAAGTTTTTAACATATTTGACCCCATGTGACCTTGAATATGGGAGAAGGTCATTCATTTAAACAAATTTTGTAGCCCTTCAACTTAGCATGCTACTGGCCCAATATCATCACCCTGTGCATTTTGGTTATTCAGAAGAAGTTGTTTATTGTTTTTAACATATTCGACCCTTGTGACCTTGAATATGGGTGAAGGTCATTCAATTGAACAAACTTTGTAGCCCTTCATCTCAGCTAGCTACTGGCCAAATATTATCACCCTGGGCATTTTGGTTATTCGGGAGAAGTTGTTTAAAGTTTTTAACATATTTGACCCCTGTGACCTTGAAAATGAACGAAGGTCATTCATTTGTTAAAACTTGGTAGCCCATAATCACAGCATGCTACTGGCCAAATATCGTAACCCTATGCCTCTTAGTTATTCAGCAGAAGTGGTTTAAATGTTTTTAACATATTTAACCCCTGTGACTTTGAATAGAAGGCAAGGTCAATCATTTGAACAAACTTGGTAGCCCTTCATCCCTGCATGCTACAGGCCCAATATCAGTTCCCTGGGCCTTTTGGTTATTGAGAAGAAGACGCTTGAAGATGTTAATATATTTGACCCCTGTGACCTTGAAAACGGGGCCAATGTCAATCATTTTTACAAACTTTGTAGCCCTTTATCCCTGCATACTACAGGCCCAATATCAATACCCTGGGCCTTTTGGTTATTGAGAAGACGTCGTTTGAAGATTTTAACATATTTTACCCCTGTGGCCTTGAAAGAGGGTCAAGGTCATTCATTTGAACAAACTTGGTAGTATTTCATTCCAGCATGCTACAGGCCCAATATCAGTACCCTGGGCCTTTCGGTTATTGAGAAGAAGTCAATTGAAGATTTTAACATATTTAACCCATGTGACCTTGAAAGTGGGTCAAGGTCATTCATTTGATTAAACTTGGTAGCCCTTCATCCCAGCATACTACAGCCCGAATTTCAGTACTCTGGGCATTTTGGTTATTGAGAAGAAGTCGTTTGAAGATGTTAACATATTTTACCCCTGTGATTTTGAATAGAAGGCAAGGTCAATCATTTGAACAAACTTGGTAACC